ACTTAACTTAAATGCTACTGATTGTTGGTAGTGTTGAATTCTATTATCTTCCTTCGGTATGTTCTGTGTATGATGGAAGGAGGTGTGTTGAAGCCTCCAGCTATAATTGTGTAGCTAACTACCTGTTTCTCATTTGAACTCTGTCAGATTCTGCTTCACATGATCTCAGTCACTGGTAAACAACAAATGAGGTTGGTGTCTTCTTGGTGAGCTGATCAGTACCATGACATAGTGTTCCTGACTCCTGCTTTCCTGGTCTCTAACATCTTACTGATCTGAGGATGCACTAGAGATTTCCACTGATTAAGGCTAATATGGCCAACTTTCAACTTGCTTAAATGGTTCCATTTGTTTCTTATAAGCAATACATAGTTGGTCATGTTTTCTAATCTAATATGAAAATCTGCCCATTAATTGTTATGCTTAGATCATTTGCATATAATGTAGTTATTACATTACTAGGAACTTACATTTGTTTTGCCTGTTTTTTCATCCCTCTATTCCTCCTGTGACTTACTTGAATGTTTTTAGAATTCCATTCTCTCTACAGGGTATCTCTGTAGTTTTCTAAGTAGGCATACTGAATGTTGAATTATATATTGGATAAACGATGTAACAATACATACTACTAAAATGTCTTCTAGGGTGATTGTTTTTGCCAATTTAAGTATAGAACCCTTCTATCCACTTATATCCCTTTGTTTTCACAATGTAAAATATAATTATAGATTCAACAGTACTCATACTAATTGTGGTATTTGCTTTATGTACACTCAGAACCATATCAGGTGATTTTGTGATTTGTCTTCAAATACCATAAGTAATTTGGAAAACAAAGGGATGAAACTTTATTTCCTTGTACTTGGTATCGGCTGTCCTTCCCTTCCTGGTCCTGCAAGGCTCCTCATTTCAAGTTTCCCTTTGTTCAGGAACTTCCTTTAGTCTTCCTTCAGCCCACGTTTTTCCTTCATCTTATAATGTGTCGATTATTGCTTCATTCCTCAGGAACATCCTGTTGGTTGCAGGTTTCTGGGCTGTCAGTTCTTTCCTTTCAACACCTGAAAACACTGTGTTTCCAAGGCTTCTGGTGAGGAATCTGCCATAATTCAAATTGCTTTCCCTCTACCAGTCGGCTGTCTGTTTTCTCTGGCTGCTTTCAAGACTCCTCTTGAATTTTTTTTAGAAGATTGACTGAATGTGCCTGGGCATGGATTTCATTGTTCTGACTCTGACACACAAGCAGAGAAAGATGGGATTCTGCCTCGTTACTACAAAGCGAATGTGCAAGTCCAAGGTCCCCACCAGGCTGCCACTCTTCCATTAATACCCAGAAAAGGGAGAGAGAGGTAAAATTCCTTGTCATGTGTGGTCTCTACTGAATCACTGGTAAGGATGACAACAAGGTGACTGGGCAACGTTGTGGTAGCTCTCCACCAGGACCCTCTGATGGCACTCAGCAGGAAGGCAGAAGGATGCTCAGCTCCTAACAGTTAGAACTAGAATGCAGAGGAAAGCCATCACTCCCCCAGCTGATCTTTTCTGAGGTCCCCCTCGCAAGGGTATTGTTCTACCTTATTGCAGCTTTGTGAGGCTGAGCATCCAAGTTTTCTACTCAGCATGTTTTGGCATGAGTAGGGATGAAAGCAGTGTGAGTGTGTGTGTATGTGTGTGTGTGTGTGTGTGTGTGTGTGTGTGTGTGTGTGTATGTATGTGTGTGATTTGTTTCGAATAGAGAGTTGTTTTCTCAAACATTTTCTATCTCACTAGACTTCCTCTTTCCCACTCCTCACAGCAAGGTGACAGTGCCCTAAGTACATCCCAGCTCGCAGCAGGTGAAAGCCACACTGTCTTTGATGATACAATTTACCAAGACACATCACATTATTTCTGCTACATTTACAGGAGAATACGCAGGCTTAGGTCTCGGTGTGAGGTTTATCAGTCTCACACTCTAAAAGAACATGTGGGATGGGAAGAATGCAAACACTTGAAAAACAGAATCTGCCATTTTTTTAAAGTCAAATTTAGGAAAACTTCAAATCCAATTCCCCGTACTGCATAACCCAAATTCTTTCATTATGTAGCCATTGAAACATGATACCATCAGTATCTATTTTTTACCCTCCCAAATAAGATGTGCCAAATCTAAAGGCATTACTAATTTCCATCAATTTCTCCTACTTCTTCAGAAACCATTATTTTCTTTTAATTTTTATTTTATGTGTGAAGGCGTTTTGCCTGTATCTGTGTGCAGCCAGAAGAGGGCATAGGGTCCCCTAGGACTAGAATTATGGCAGGTCTGAGCCACCTCGTGCGTTCTGGAAATGAAGAACAACCAGTGCCTTCTTAAACACTAACCCATCTCTCCAGTCCAAAAGCTACTATTTTCTCTCAATGATTGCTCATATCAGGGAGAACTCATTCTCCCATCTTCTAGAGAAGCAATGATAACTTCAGAAGAAAACTGTGTGACTAAATAAACTTTGGGACCACTGTGTCCTCTGCATGTCTCTTGAGTGCCCTGGACCTCCTTCACAGAACTAGCCCAAAGCAGCCTGCAGTGTCTTGGGGCTCCGGGAGTAAGGAGCACATCACAGTCTGAGCTTATTCTGCCACACTGTGGCCAGACCTGAACACTACATGTGGCCGGTATTCCCTGACATGGAAAGTAGCTTTTCTTTTTCAAGATTAGAAATCACTTTCTTTCCACGTCGGCCCTTCTGACCCCTCCATACACAGGAGCGAAGGGCCAGGATGGTGGTGATAGGGCTCTTGTCTCAGCATGGCTACCCTCACAACAGGTGCCGTTTTCAAATGATGGCATCAGCACTACCATCTACCCACGGCTATTATGTAGATGCTCTGATTGAAGCCTGCCAGGTCAAAAGTCAAAGCTAGAGGTTGAAATGAAGGGAAAATAGGACCCACAGTCTCCCAGGGCCCATTCTTTGCCCCGGTGCTCCCTTCCTCCCCGTTGGGTCCAGACCTCAGAGCACAGGCTCCTGCTCGCCTCACTGAATAACATACCCTAGCTGGGCTTTCCACCTATCTCTGTCTTGTTAAAAAGCAAAAGACAGAAAGAAGCCAGTTCTTTATCTTCCCATATCCAGAGTATCATCCGGGTTCTCGCCCTCTTCCCACGCTGAGTGCTTCATCCTACCATCCTTCTAGTGTGGTACACGGAAAGTGGCAACCCAACAATGGTACAATGAGAATTTTCTTCCCTTCCTGAATTCCACCTAATTCCCCCTCTCTCTAGTACATGCTACAAAAAGAGACAGTGCCTACCATGCCCTCAGACTTTCTCCCAGGATACTCTACTCTGTCATAACACTTTCCTCTCCTGCTCTGAGTCAGCCTCACCTTGAAAGATTACTGGGAACCACTATTGCTGTATAGACTTCCCCCCTGGTGTCCTCACTTATCTCTAGCTAATAAGCTGTCACGTGGCATGCCATCCTTTTAAATCAGTCACATAGCTTAGAAGTTATAGAAGCTACCTACACGAAACCATCTTTTCTGTCCATAAAGGGACTGCTCCAAGCTTCCTGTCTTCGTAGCTTAAGGACCCTTTCTCTTCGCACACCTGTCATGTGTCAGGAATTCCCATCGAGGGAAATCCTGCACGTGGTATGATCAAGTCACCACTCCAGATTATTCATCCCCCTGAATGTTGCTCAAGAGATGAAAAATAAAAGGGACGAAGCCATATCCATCATCCTCACTGACATACTTGTTTTGGAAATAATGATTCCAGATGGGAGGGCAGTGAGAAACAGAGCCTGCGAGGAGTAGTCATTGCAGAGTCTACAATGCAACACTCAGTGCTCCTTCATCAGAATGTATCATCAGAGTCCTATAAAATCCGTCTCTGGGAAATCGACCCTAAAATTGAAAAACTTTGTGAAAAGAGTGAGAAGGCAGTTTTTAGAGGAATTCCTATAACTAGAAAAATCGTACTTAACTTGACGTCTTAAGATCACCCTGGCCATGTCACACTCTGATCTTATCAACCCCATAAGGGGTAAAGCAATGATGGGATGCAATGTTAACAATTTTATAAAAGTTATTAATTCCATTTTTCAGATGGAAATACAGGGCCTAGAAAAGCATAAATAAAATTAAGGAAAATCAAGTAAAGCAATAATTGTATTGGGGTCAGGGGAATCTCCACTTCTCAACTTGAAGGAGAGAGAATAGGCTTGCAAGCATCTCTGCACAGCCCTTCTCTGGCTCCAGCATCCCCAATGACTTCACTGGAACCCATTAATTCCAGGGCATCCACAAACTTGCTATGGAATTTACTGATCATATGGGCCTGGAAGCCTTTGAGGAGCTTTTGATGGCTACTATCTTATCAAGATCAAGACCTGGAAAAATTGGGTGGGAAACAACAGCCTGGCTACAACCCTGAGAATATTCTTAAGCCCAGGGAAAGCCATTCAATCCATATGAACTGCAAAGTGTCTCCAAGACAGTGATGTAAGTGCATGAATCCACAGTGAGTTGCAATGATGCTTCTTTACACATGGATAGGCATCGTAGCTACAGGTATCCTCCCTCCAGCACCACTGAACACCCTCCTCCCTGCAGAGCACTCTGAGGATATGCCTTACATAGCCCCTCTCAAACTATACTGTGAACAAGAAACAACTAGGGATTTGTTAAAATGCAGGCCCTGGGTTAGGAGGTTTGGAGGGGAGCCTAGGAGCTCTACCTTTCTCAAAAGCAAGCTGATTCTGCTGCTCTGGAAACTAAGCTTCAAAAAACAAAACTCTCAAGCACAGCTTGGAGCCCACAGTTCCGAGGACCAAAAAGTTCATGACCAGGAGCAGCTCACGCATGATGGAACTCAAGTGCAATATTAACCAATAGGAGGGCGCTTTCTACATCGCTGTCCGAGCACACCTAACAGACTCATAGAGTGAATTACGTGAGCAAAGGCCTCGAGTGAACATGTTCTAAAGGAGCCAAGGAAGAGTGAAGCAAAATTTACTCACGGGAGAAGCGGGCAAGTGGACGGGCATTCTTATCTCCTGCTTCATTTGCAACTGTGAGAAAAACAGAGGACACAGTTAACAATAAGGCACATTAAATGGGACCATACAAATAGAAATCACAGGCAATATTGGCAATGCTATTTACTGGTTACCCCCTACAACCTGGAGGTAAAACCCTGTTGCTGAAGGAAAAGCCCTATTGCTGTAACCTTCTAGAGTCAACAAACATGGAGAAATCTAGCTGGTACCCAACTAGAAGCTATTCCCTACTGACTAGCATTCATGGTGCTTGAGGGTACTTTTCGCACTACTGGAAGAGAAAATTAATGATTAATATTACCCAGCTAGAAACCCTACAGCCTACAACAGCAACCTACCTGCAAGACATACGGATACAACTGAAGTACAAATGCTGTAGGAATAACCAAGCACTTTTTTGTTGACTTTAAGGCCCACTCTGAGATATAATCCATACCTGACAGCAGTAATGAGGCCAGGGACTAGATCAGTAGTAGGAGTTAGGGGGAAGCCTACTGCTATTCTACTAAATGAACACGACAATCAAATGGCTCTTAATGCCATATGCTATAACCATAGAGATCAGTGCACCACTCAATCCTTGTCAGAGAAGCTGCCTCTTGCAGTAGACAGCTATTAACCAAGAGACCCACAACTGGACAAAGTGCAGTGAGAGACCTTAGAGTCCTCAGCCCTAAATTGGAAGCCTACATCAAACTCTCCCTCAAGGGATCTGCATGGAAGAGAGGACAGAAAGATCATGAGAGCCAGGGGTGATGGAGAACATCAAGGAAATGCCGTCTTTCAGATCCAACAGGCCTGATCCACACGTGAACCCAGAGGGACTGACAACAAGCAGAAGACCATCACAATTATATTCTAGACAGGCAAATCCCAGCAAAAGAAGCGGAAGAGAACACAAAGTCCCACCTCTAACCAAGAAACCTTTTGTAAATGGTAGCTGTCAAGAGAGGAAGGATCAGTTTTCTGTAATGAACCACACTCCAGGGCAGGCCTCATGCTCAAGAGCTGAAACAAAACAGACTCCAGATTTTTGTATGCTTTTCTATTTGCTTGTTTGGTGGGTTTAGTTTGACTTTCTTTTTCTTTTTTTTTCTTTTGGTTTTTGTTTTGTGTGTCAGAGAGAGAGAGAGAGAGAGAGAGAGAGAGAGAGAGAGAACATTAAGTTGGGTGGTAGAGAGTTGAAAAGAACTTGAGGACAGGAAAAAATATGATCAAAATATATTTTAGGTAAAAAATTGTTTTATCAAAATAGTGTTTCTCTGTGTAACAGCTCTGGCTGTCCTGGAACTCTCTTTGTAAAATAGACTGGCCTTGAACTCACAGAGAGCCACCTGCCTCTGCCTCCGTAGTGCTGGGATTAAAGGTGTGCAACACCATGCCCTGATAAATTTACTTGTTTTAAAGTAAATTTTAAATTTTACATGTGTTCCAGAGTATTTCCGTGCTACCACTAACCACCTTGCCACTCTGACAGTCAGTCACCTTCATTAGAATATCTGAGTAAAACTGGCTTGGTGCACAAGGATGGCCAGTTGTGTGGGGATCTGTTAGAGGCAATCTGGTTAACCTCTCTATATGTACTAGGTTGAGGTTCTAGTTCTTGCCAGTTTTACTCAGAGAGTCTAATGAAGAACATCCTTCAACCTGGGTCTCTGTTGTTTTTCCACGGTGTATGCAAAGATAGCTGGCCCAGGAACTCGTGGGATTCTCCTGTCTCTATCGTCCATCTCCTTGGAGAAGCACTGGGATTATGGCGGCTCCTAATAGGCAGCTAGCTTTTATCTGGGTTCTGGGCATTTGATCTCAGGTCCTCAGACTTGCTTGCACTGCAGATACTTTTATACACTGAGTCATCTTCCAGACATTGCTAAATTTAAATATTTTTACTTCCATTAAGACTGATATGTGTTGTTTTCTATATCCATGAAAGACAGACATAAATGTTTGTGATATCTGTTGGAATGACATACAGTCCAACCAACGAGAAAATCCTGTTCGTTTTGGTTTTAAAAAAACTACCAACGGCAGGCAGAAGAGATTGATAGTGTAATCATTGCTGCGTATGATGTTGACACAGAAGGACATGAGAATATCAGCCTCCTGATAGTCTCAGGAATATCATTTTACAGAACCATTTTACAAATGGTGAAAGGAGTCATGGCTATCTCTGGGGTAAACAAAAGTTCACAGCATTTGCACATTTCAACCTTGTTCCTGGCTTTGGAATCATCCCACGGTGGTTCTACTTTTGCTGCATCATACAAAATGACCAGCAGGGGGAGGTGCTACTGCACACATCGCAACATCTCAAACACAGAAACTGAATCGGCCACACTCAGACTCATGAACCGTGTCGGGGACCCGCCTGGACAAAAAATGCCTCTCACCAGGGTAAGGGCATGGGGATTTAGAAATATAGTAAAGAACATGATGATGTGGATGAAAATAATAAAATGGAGAAACACAGAATAGTATCGGGAGGGAGTTCCAGTGTGCACTGAAAACTCACCTGCATGTAATTTCCAACTGCTTAAAATACTCCTGGCCCCAAAAGGTAGGAGTAAGGCAAAAGGCCGCATTAACATGATATAAGGAAATGAACAGACAAATTGAAAGTTGCGGTCTAAAGTCATAGTTAAACATTCTGTTGCTAGAACAAAACAAGTCAGGCCCACACCCTAGACCAAAACATTCTGTAGGCAAACCACTCCCTGGGTGGAGTCTCAAGTTATCTCCATAAAGGGAACTGGAACTTGGTTGAATCCTTAGACTTTTGTTTAAGGTAGGAACAAATCTACTCCTCTATTCCTAGAGCTAGATTGTGCTAGGTCTGGCAATCAGCCACACCTGTTGACAATAAGCTTGAGTGAGCAGAACTCTCTGAGCAACAACTAGGTGGGACCTTCATTTTGAGGTAGAAGCACAATAACCTTAAAAGAACTAGAGGAAAGCTCCACACTCTCTGACCTGTGGTCAATGTGGAAACCGGCTCACGTTTCCGGGCCTCCACAGGACCTGACTGGAGCTGGACATGCTCGTGTGTTCTTCTCCAGCCCTTAAGTTCAAACTGTTTCCTTTTTAGACACTGTATACCTCTGAAAAATAGAACAATCTTTTTCCACAAAAAAAAGAAAAGGAAAAGGAAAAAAAAAAAACCTCATACCTTTACTGTAGAAAGCAATTGGCTGCCTTCAAAGCAGGGTTACAAAGACCATTGCAACGGCTGTGAACACAAGGATCACCTAACTGCTAGCCTTAGGAAGGCACATTCTCCCTGGATTGCTATTTCAGACCAAGTCTTGAGACTCCCCTCCCAAAAACCTTAGCCAAGGATGGGAATTGCTGACCCAGATCCAAGTTATATCAGGAGAGGCAGGCATCAAAATCTAGGCCAGTGGGGTGCCAGGAGAGTTGCCTCTACCCAGAAGTGATGTGACAGCCGGAATGACTGTCCCCCATGAAGCACAGACACCATGCTTCCCTGCTGAGTGGTTTCCAGGAACAGCCTACAATGTATGATCCAACTCGCTTGGCTTGGAATCAAAGTCCTGACATTAACTTAATCTTTCACTACGTGTTAGTCGGCTTTCTGTCACTACAGCAGCTGCCTGAAGGGACTCATTTGCAAAGAGTAAAGATCCATTTTGTTCAGTCCAGGGGCCTCTAGTGTCAGATGGCATTGGTAGGAGGTCTTAGTAATGCACAACTAAGTCATACCATAACCAAGAAGCAAGCAGAAATTTGGAAGGGACTGGGATACTACAGTCCCTTCAAAGATGAAAGGCTGGCTAGCAGGGTCCCCCTTTAAAGGTCTCACCCTCCCCAGGTGCCACTCTGAGCACAAAGCCTTAGACACACAGGCCATTGGGGTACATTTACAAACCTCAATGATGACAGTTCCCACGCCATCTTTCAATATAACACCCTTCACATGCTCTCGCGCAAACATCCTCCTAGGTCTTCACCAGACCGACCCTGACTTAGTCTTCAGGTTAATGCATAAGTGCATTTCACGGTACATCCCAGGTGCCGGCCTGTGTTTCACTTCATTCTCCTTGCAGACCCAGCTCTCCAGCTTCAGCAGAGACCAGAACTACCTAGAGGGTTTTCTGAATTGCAGGCTACAAATGCAGAGTTCGACCTCAGCAAGGATGGTATATGTCTGAGAAAATACATTCCTGAGAAATTCCAAGTGCCTTGGGGGCTCCTGGTCTGGGATGGATTTTTCAGAACAGTTGGCAATCAGCTGTAACCTGCCCCATCCAAGGCAAGATCTTTAATTTTTAATTTTCATATTTCTATTCTACTGACTACTGACTGCCACTCTGAATAATGTGGTCCGCTGATGTTTCTAGAACTAAAGTAAACTGGAGAGACACAAAATGCCACCGACAGCATCTAGACCAGGCATCGCAGGCAGGCTTCTGGCCAATCTGTATGAAGGTCTGGTTCATTTGGGGCCACAAGCTTGTAAGTGTTAAATAATTAGCTGCCTATACTGATAAACAGTTATGAGATTTCAAATATAAATACATGCTACTGACTTCCTTAGGGATGTAAGATCCCAGACCCACCAGACGGGAATGCGTGCCCCCAACAATGGACAGCTCTGCTGTCTGAGACAAAGCTCTTTTCTTATTGTTACTGCTGTTTACCCGCTGCCCTCCTGGTCCAGAGATTAGTGTCAACAGGGCCTTGTGGAGGGCTTAAAGAGAGGAACAACATTGCCACAGAGAAAAGTACTACAAGGAGTGATCACACCCAGCTGACTAAGCCCTTCCGTTTCCAGGCCACACACCTTTAGATAGGTTTGAGGGCCCATTGCCTGTGGGCTTGGGCACAACCAAGCTTTTCAGCAGCAGAAAAACCTTCATGTATTATGAGTTTTGTATTACATACATACACACACACACATATACACACACATACACACACACACACCACTCACACCACACCACATCCATACACACACATACACACTACACACACAAATACAACATACACACCAC